CTCCAGGTTACATTGGAATCACAATAAGGTACACAAGGGCACAGTTAAAAACACCCAACAGATGTGTTGTTCTGTTCTACTTTTAAATTTGAGCCTTACATCTTGACTACATCTATTTTAGACATTTTTGACCCAGATTCATCCCTAGTGTGACTGGGATAAAATAAATGGATTTGCATCGGAAATTAATTTGGTCCACTATGCTAAAATCTCTATGTCTTCATAATAAGTCCGTGCCGAGATGTTTTTAAGATTTCCTTTACTTTAAACTGAGTGAAGAATTGCTCTTATAAATAACACTCTGATATGGAGGACATTTAAGAGAGAAAAAAAATGCAGAGATAAATAAGTACAGGCAACAAAACTCAACAGTTTTATGTTGTGATCACAGAGCACGACTTCCAGATAACGCCACTGAAGCAATGTAAGACTTTATTATTGGATATAAACAACATGTAATGAGCATCCATGGGATGCTGGATAACTCTCATTAGTGAGGGAAGATCTTCATAACTCACGTGTGGGTTTACCACTTCATTTTATTAACTCTCACTCATTAGAGAGCAGCAGTGCATTTCAATATGACAACAGCCAACTTCTTCAGGGCCCACTGCATGACAGGTTTCCTGACGCTGGTCTTTTGGGGATTTTTCTGAAGAAAGGGTTGCACATATGATTTGTTTGTGTGTTGTTGGGAACGTAGACAGGGACAAAAAATAAAAATGAGGGGCTGCTTGGTTTTTCATGCATGAAGCCCTCTGTACATACTTGACTGAGTCAGACCTGTCCCCTTTCCAGACAGCACAGCAAAGTAAAAAATTCATCACTGACTTTGATGAATAGCAGAGGAACCGGGATGGGGAAAACCTGTCTCCGGATCATTATCTCCCCTTTGACAGCATGGGACTAGAACAAGTCATTACCTGATCCCCACTCACTCACGGTCAGTCTTCTTGGGGCCCCTTTCATGGTTTAAAGTTATACAAATCACCATTCTTGCGAGGAATGCAGAGGCATCAACAGGGGCTGAGGGATTCCTAGTCCTGAGCCTTACAAACACTGCTTCTGATTTGTAGAAGAATAAGAACATTCTTGGAGTGTCAAGGTTTAGTTTGCTTCCCTCACCCTCATCCTTCCCCCACCCCCAAACACTTGTAATACTTACAAGTGCTTGGGACACATTTCTGGATGCCCAAGGAACTGTGGCACTGAGTAGAGAGGCCTGTGGCACTGTCGCTGAGCACAGAAGAATGCTTCTGTCAGGTTGTTAGCTTGCTCCCAAACCTCCAAACACATTAGAGTTACTTTGTTCATTATACTGCTCCCCTGTGAAGCAGAGGATTAATTTTAAAATTCTCTTTCTGATCTGCAAGACCTTCAGTGGTCCAGCTCCTGCCAACTGGCTCAAGCTCTTTTCTGCACTTGCACTGCAGATTCCAGCCCACTGATCATCATCTACTGCTTGCCTTAATGCCAAAATACCAGAGATCTTCACCTTTTTTTTTTTTTTTTTTTTTTTTTTGCATCACACATCTGGAATGCTTTGCCAGTTTGCCCGCTCACTCGTGACAAGAAATTTTGCACATGAATGCCATTGTGGGATACTGCGGCATGTACTGGCCCATTGCTGATATACCCACATTTTGATGATGCCGTTACGGCTTCATTTTTCAAGTACTTCAGTGTATATTCAAACAATGTAGATGAAGCCTTAAGGTACAGTAGAGAGAAAAAAACATCAAAACCATTGAGTGCTTTTTAAAAGGAAATACTATTGTCTGAGCCATCTATTTTTAAATTCTTTTAACACATAGTGCTTAAATGAAGTCACAACACACCACAGGCCTCTCTAGCACTACTGAACTGCTCAGCAAGAAGGCACTTGCTGCTCAGTAGCTTGATATTTTAGGGGAAAAAAGTGTGCTCACTACCAGAAAGCACATTTCCAATTGGGTTACTTGTGTTAATTGAACAGAACAGTAATCACTTCAGAAGTGACATACAGTTGATAACATGAGGAGTGCCTAGTTTTGGCAGTGGCAAATTTGGTTTGATTACTCTGTTGTATGTTGTGTACCATTTTAAAGAACACATTTTAGACAACATGAGTTTTCTACACATACAGACATATATATGTGTGGGAACGTGTGTATGCATGGCACAGTTGTGTGAACCAATATATAATAAATACATACTTTTGTACGTAGTTAAAATAGTTTGGTCATAATATTAAAATACAATAGAGAGGCTGGGTGTGGGGATTAAGATCTAGAAAACCCAGGCCAGACCCAGATTTCACGAGGCAACTTATTAAGCACAGACACATACCCATGCACATAAAAATGAACCCACTGCCTTCGTAGTCATAATACTCTAGAAATGTATTTTTGAGGAGCTTTTGCCTGTTTTCTGAAGAATGAGGCACATGTGCGCAGCTTAAACCAGCCTTGCATCCAGGTGTCACAGGCAGCAAAGACATGTCTGATCTAAGGAGTTTCTTAAAACTTGCCCACTATGTGAGACAACAGGGCTCAGGGGAATGACTTCACAGGTGAGATGGTGTTTGTGACAGTAGCACATGGGACAATCTTCTTTAGCTTGCTGCTTGAAAGGCTCCACTCAACTCCTATAAATCCATTCAAAAAAAATCCATTTTTGTATAGTGGTTACAGGAGCTTTGGCCTTGTTTTGTGTGCATATTGTTTTTGTTAAGCACCCATTTAAGCAAGACCGCAATTAAAATACTAGGTCTCTAAACTCATGATTGCTGGAGTTCAAGCTGACCAATTGGTAATTCTTGTTTAGGTTAATGAAATAGCTCTGCTCATTAGCAATTTTGATTGTTTATTTTTCACAAAATGCCACCAAATCCACATCAGTGATGAAATCTTATGCAAAGAATTCCACAGGTAAGAATTTCCTTTAGAAGACATACTTCTGAGACTCTTACACCCAAAAATGTTAAATGTGTCTAAATCAGTTGCTCTCCAAATGCATCTCATCTCTTACCATTTCTACATCAAGATCGATGCTTTTCAGTTTTAACATTGCTTTTTTAAGAACCTCCTAATTTTCTTTAATATTCTATCTGCCAGGAACACATGGTGTAAACCAAATGCCTTTAGAATTTGTTATTTTCTTGACAGTGCTCTTCTCTACCATGCTACATTTGCCACAAATGCCACCAAATTAGCATTCATAAATAGGGAAGCCAAAGACTTATTGACTAAAATTAAAGGGTTTGAATAAGTCAAAATCATCTTCTCTTTGTCTTTGGTACTATAATCTCTGGTATCTGAGAGGATTTTCTTTGAAGTCTGTTTGCTCTACTGTTTTATAACTGTGATGTTGTGTGGGTTTTGTTGAGTTTTTCTTTCAGCTGCCACATATTTTAAAGTAACAATTAAAAATGTCAGAACGACAGAATTTATAGGTCTTCATGACAGTTGTTATGATGTGACTAAATTATCTTTTCCTAGTGGTTTGTGTGCAGAGTGAGATTTGGATTCACTCTGAGCAGCCCTGCAGGGAAGGTGGACGGAAAACTGAACAGGAGCCTACAACGTGCATTTGGAGGCCAGAAAGCCACGTGTGTCCTGGGTTTAAACTAAAAGAGTTTAGATTAGATGTTAGGAAGAAATGCTTTACCCAGAGAAAGATGTTAGGAAGAAATGTTACCCAGAGAAGCTGTGGATGCCCCATCCCTAGAAGTGTTCAGGGCCAGGTTGGACGGGGCTCTGAGCATGGTCTAGTGGAAGGTGTCCCTGTCCATGGCAGGGGAGTTGGAACAAAACGATCCTCAAAATTGTGGACCAAAATCATTCTTTGATTCTATAAATCGCTCTCCTGGGTTTCTCAAAAGGTAGCAAAGCTTGTCAAAACACCACCAGATGTAGGTATTTTCTACATAAATACCATTTATCCATTCAACCAGAATGCTTCAGTTTCCAGATCACAGCTGACAGACCGCAGTGGCGCATTTAAAGTGGTACGATTTACGAGAAAGCCATTTTATTATTCCACTTGAGAGACGCGGCTGTTTCCCAGCACTCCTCTGGGACCGGCTATCCAGCCGCGTCCCTCAGGGCAGACCTAGGCGGCCAGCGGAGCTGGGACCAAAGGCCGAGCACCATTCTACCCCCGTTGTGCCACTCCAGGGCGGATACACGAGTCACTTCCCCGAGGCCCCGCCCCGCTCCCTCAGCGCCGCCTGCGACGCCCGCGAACCCCCCGCCATGTCGAAGTCGAACGGGGCTGGCGTCGCTTCCGCCCTCACCGCGCACCGCTGCGCATGCGCGGCGGCACCGCCGGCACAGGGAGCGCTCAGTGACCTCTGCGCATGCTCAACAGAGCCGTCGCTCTCCTGCCCTTTCCCCTCCCCCGGCCCGTTCCTTTAGCGCTGCCGCCCCCCACACATCATCCCTCCCTCCCTCCCTCCCTTCCCAGTGGCACCGGCGGTGCCCGGGACGTAGCGGGGGAGTCCACGCTCCGGGCGACCACCTGCGTCACGTGGCTGAGGTCGCGCCGGCGCCCTGCCCGAGGCCGTCTGCCCACGCCTGTGCCTGACAGGGCTGGCGCCGAGCGGCCCGCGGAGGGTGCTCCCTGGTGGGCGCCTTCGCTCTCCCTGCTTCTCCCCATCCCTTAGGCACGGAGCGGAGGGGGCAGCGGTGTCGCTGAGACGCGGTGTCAGCGCGGTGCGGCCCCGCCCGCGCAGGCAGCTCTTCGGGCACCCCAGGCGGGCCTGGCAGCGGAGGGGCCGCGGCGTGACCTCGGCGCGGTGCGGGCGGGAGCGGCGGGCGGGGGATTTATGTGCCGGGAGCGGGGCCGGGCGGGGCCGGCGCGGGCTCGGGCACCGGCACCGGCACCGGCACCATGGTGAGCGCGGGGAGCGGGGCCAGGGGGCAGTGGGGAGAGGCTCTGCTCGCGGCCTGGGGTGCGGGGCCACGCTTCCGCAGGGCCCGGCCCCGGCTGTGGGAGGGCCGAGGCCGCCGAGTGGGTCTCTTCATTAGCTCTCATTAAGGGAATGATCGTGCTGGCTGTACTTCGCCGCGACCTCACGCCGGCACCTTTGCACTGCTCGGGGGTTCGGTTCCTCTGTGCCGCGTTTCCGCGGGGAAGGAGAGTGAGGCACCGTGCTCTGGGTTCTGTGACAGGGTTGGGATGTCTGACCATAAATACCCGGAGCCCTCATCGCCCTCCTCAGCTCCCCGGACGGAGGCTGTGGTGAGGTGGGAGCCGGTCTCTCCTGCCTGCAGTGAGGGGACCGGAGGGAATGGCCTCCAGCTGAGACAGGGGAGGTTCAGATTAGATATTAAATTTTCACTGTCAGGGTAGTCGGATATTCGAATAGGCTGCCCCGGGAGGTGGTGGAGTCAGCATCCCGGGAGGTGTGTAGGAGGTGTCTGAATCTGGCGCTGGGTGATGTGGTTCGGTGGCTTAGTGATTGCACTGGCAGCACTGGGCTGACGTTAGACTTGATGATCTCAAAGGTCTCTTCCAACCACGACGATTCCTTGATTCTGACTGTTTACTCACATCTTCTGTAAACTCCCTATAAATAGGGTGTGTAAGTGGTCTTGGATATATGTAGAAACCTTTGTTGTTCATTAATGCCAGCTCTGGGCCGTGTCACAGTGTGTGCTGTGGCAGCATGGCAGTGTCACACAATCCTAGAGTGGTTTGAGTTGGAAGGGACCTAAAGAAAAAAGAATCTCGCTTTAAATTGCTTTTCACAACAGGTATTTCAGCACAGCCAGAATTTATTGCTCTGAACATAATGCACAATGAATGACCTTGTAATGTTGTAGGGGAAGAACAAAGTTTGACTGGTGTAATTGTTAGTGGTATAAACTTGTTGGATATATGTCGCTTAAATAGAGGAGGCTAAGTAATGAATATCAAATAAATAAAGATGCTGAATTTTGTATTTAGGTCTTAGTTACCATTGAAAACACTGGAGTTGATCAGCTCAGCTTTTAATGTACTTATAGATAAAAGGAGCAAGGATATGTTGGTGCAGGTATAAAAAGTTATTTTGTATGTGCCATTACACATATAATATAGAGTATATTTTATGTATTTTATATCTATTATATTATATTTTTCTTCCATATGACTATATGACTCTAAGTTTCAATGTCATTTTAAATATGGCGGAAGTGTCTGTTTGTTGAAGCAGATTGCTAAGAAATGCACTTTACAGTTACATTTTTAATAAAATTGCCTTTTAACTGTTCTCATACTTACAGATTTAATCACATGATTCTACTAAAGCTCTTTTTAATAGTGTATATTATGAAAGGCTTATGAAAGGAACTGTATTTCTTTTCCTTATGAAGTATTTTTCTTCCTTTTTTTCTTTTTCTAGAGGTTAGAATATTTAATCAAAAGGTCGTGAAATACTCATTTATAGGATTCCATGGGTGCTGTGGCCAATATCCATATTGAAAGCTACTTTTTGAAAATTGTGAGCTTTTCCTCTCAGTGTAGGTCCTTAATTAAATAAATTGAGTGGTTGCTTGTGCTGCCTGATGAGATTGAAAGATCAAGTCCAGTTTCCTTTGCTGGCAGTGTGGACAAATAATCTTTGTCTGTGGTTCCATGACGTCAGCAAAGTGAAAAGATGGTTGTCTACTTTTACAGTGTTTGGAAGCTGCATTCTCTAGTTCCAAAGCAACAGGAGAATGAAATGTTCATCAGTTTCTTTTGCACCAGGAGGCTTTTAAATCAAGTCTTAAAAATCAAGATCTGCCAAGCTGGGACTGCCAAGACTCATCTATGCAGTTGCAGTGCGAGTTAGGCCATGACTTTACACTCTGCACAAGTGTCTTAATACCGTGCAAGGCCACAGTGTTTTAGACTGTTCAGCAGAGGCATCAAAGACTTTTCACTTTTTATGCTTGGAATTATTCCTTTAATGGCAGAACCTGCTCTTTAAAAAGCAAGTGTTCTAGAGAGTGGGAGCTTCCATAGTTCCTACTTGTGGTCGTTGGGGAAGTATTGGTAAACTTCCCCAACTACTTTTTTGGTAAAAAAGTATTTGAATAGTAATAGTGGAGTATAACCTTGTTTTTTCCTGTGTAGTAGATCAGTTCTCTGAACTAGTTTTACTTGTAATCTAATAATACATTGCATATCTACTTGTGTTCAGTACAACAAATATTCAATATTGGCCTCTTCAGTAATAAAAATAAATGTGTCTTTTTATAAATGCCCTTGTTCCAGCCATGGAATTTCTGTAGCAATAACTTGATTTGCCTAATGATCACTGTCGGGTAAAATGCAAGTTTATTGTCTGTCTTTTGAATCTGTGGAAAGACACTGGTCAGGAGAGGAGTGACCCTTGGGTGGGAAAGACCCGTGAAGGTGAGTGATTGGGTCTTGAACTTCTTGTGTATTCATCATACCACTTCATGCATCTTTTGTTCATCTCTGCTGTCTTGTAAACAGTGGTAAGTGCATGAAAATTCTGATTCAGGGAAAACTTGGTCATGAGAAAAGAAAAAAAAAAGTAAAAATCTGAACTTTGAAGAGGTCTCTTGGCATAGATATCTTTCCCAAGATTAACTTTATGAATGTCTGATTTTTACATATAGTAAGATTTGAACTGCCTCAGATTGCTGACTATCATTCTGACTACAGGTCTTTTGTGAAAGTGGTCTTTTTCACAGGAAGCATTCATTTTAAGATGCTGCACAGCAAGCTCAATTTTCTTTGGCCATCCCATATAATATTTTCTACTGTTTAGGAAACAATTCTGAATTGCATTTATGTTTCGGAAGAACACTGTCACGCTTTTGCAAGCTGCAGCTTGAGCATGGGCGTATACATACAGAGAAAAATTTGCATGTGGGGGAAAATTGACCTATGGAAAAGTGTCATTTAATAGCAAAAGCAATAATGTGTCAGCTATTAAAAGGCATTTTGAAAAATTTATACCAATTTAGCTTTCAGGCTCCACAAATACCATTGCACATTTGGAATTGCAGGAGATGAAAATGTTTCTTATATTCTCTTAGGGATCTTGCTGGTCACCACTAATACAATACCTTTTCCATTTCTTACCTGGAAATTCACAGCCTTGTTAGCATGTTTGCATGCTACCATTGAAAGAGATTTATGCCCTGAGTTAACATCTGCAGAATACTCCAGTCCAGTTGTGTAAAAATCTTGTTTTTACAAGACTTGCCACTTCAGAAAGAAAGCAGCTGGCATTACATTTCTGAAGGTGAAATTGTAGACCGGCTGTTTTTTCAGGCATGCAATTGTATCCCTGCTGCAGTCCTGGTGCACACAGTAGTTGGCTTCAGCTCAAGATTCTCGTCTTGCAGTGGAGGAGGTGGTTCTTGTCAGAGAACAGGTAGTTTCAAAGTCCTGTGTAAAGCAAGGTGTTTGAATTATTTGTAATATGTACATATGTAGTAAGGAAAAGAAAGATGGAAAAACCTGTTACTACAAGTAAGGAAGAATAACCTTGGGCAAGGTCAAAATGAGGAGACTGGAGTGGTGTCTTTGAATAAAACACCCTTGGCTGACTTTGTGCTTCTTGTTCTGTAAGTCAATTATTGATGAAAAGAAAAATGTCCTTTAGGCAAAAGTACTTTTAATTTTGATGGTTTTTCTTTTTTTCATTGCTCTGAGATAGCTGTTGGTGTTTTATAAGTACACTTAACTTGTAGATAGGAGTATTGTAACTCTATCTTAGTTGCTTATTCTTAGTTTTTGTTCTCCTCACTATCAGCAACTGTGTCACCAGGTATGTAATATAACACTGTGAAGGTTTAGGTTGTACTTTATTCAACCTTGTGCTGTTTCCTTTTGGATGTGTCATCTTTTTATTCCCCAATTTTAAGAAATCTGGCCAGCTTTCCTTTAATGTAACTGCTAATACTGCTCTTGTGGACCACTTATGTGTTCTCTGTTATGATTTAAAGCTTTCATGTGAAGTCTGCTGTGTTAGGCAAGTAAAAGTCAAACTGCCATACTTACTGAAGGATCTGGAAGAGAGCACAATGCTCCAGACTTCTGAGGCACCTCTAACCAAAGGCCTTCTATGACAGAAACACAGCTAGACTGCAGTTTATTTGACAGTGTTGTCGCTGCGTGGCTCTACTATTTCAGTCTCGGTTTTGGCCGGGAGGTTTCTTTCCAGCTTATGTTTTGCAGAGAAACTGACTTACCATGTCACATAGTCCTCTTTCTTTGGTCCCAGTGCTTCCTGGCGTTAGAGATTGACAGAAGTGTCTCTGACCAATGGAATACTGACCTCTCTCTCTAGAGTCTTGAACTTGGATTTCAAATTCCATGCTGCAAAGCTGAGGCATGATAGGGACATGGATATGTGTGGAATCAGTGCACCGAAGGTCTTATGAAATGGGTTCAGTTAACATGATTTTTCACAAACTGTTCTGTATCTGCAGACATTTTATTTAGTCTGTGCAGCAGTTCCTCATCTCTTAACAGGTGAGTAGTGCTTCTATGAGTTTTGGGTCAGCGTGGTCAGTGATTGCTTAATTACGTTATCACAGTTCAGGTGATGGGTTCCAGGTTTTGTTCACTGGAGGCCCTCAAAACCCCCATATGATGTGGGCTTTACCCTTGTGCATTATCTCTCTCAAATATGTCATACTTTATTTTTTATACTCTCGATTTTTAAAATTGTGGATTTCTGACTAAAATCTAAACTCTGTCCTCTAATTTAGAGTGTGCAAGTAGAGGATGCAAGATATTGATGGGAACCAATACCCAATTTTCATTCATGTTCCTGAAATGAGTGGTTTTAAATTTAAACTGGTATTAGTGGTAAAGTGAAGACTTAGAATTATGTGGGAGGCTGGATGCAGACAGAGCCTGAACTGTATTTCGGGGGGAGGGGAAAGATGTGTTCTAGTGTGATAATATGGGGTAATTTGGGATGTTGCACGTACTTCTGGTATGTGTTTATAAAACACACAAGCGGAGTGTAACCACATCCAGGCAAAAGGGTAGAGTTGGCAAAAAGTTGTGCTGTGCACATAGCGTGTTGAGTGACCACATCACCTACTGTATTTCCTGTTCCATGTGTTCTTGGCAGATTTCAGGAAGATTAATGCAGTGGACTTTTTTAAATTTCATGTCACAGCTTTACGCTATTAACATATTACTTGTGGTTGTTTACTAACCTTCAGGAATCAAGAGAAAATGCCTATATCAAGTGACCTCATATATCCATTTTTTATTTGTAGGAAAGTAAGTGCAGGAAAATATGAGAAAGATATTTCTACCACAAAGTCAGATTTAAAGTTAAGATTAGTGATATCTTTGGGATTTGGTTATTTTTTTCCTGTGGCTTAAAACTTGCTGAGTTGTTTTCATTTGTATGCTGAAATGTTTGTAGGTATTTCTGTTTTTAACGAATGCAGCAAAAACCTCTATGGGAATTAGTGAATTTCTGCTGGAAGGGAGTAGAGAGGATACAGGAGACATTCAGTGGTTAAAGACAAATTGTTCCTAATGAGTTCTGTTAACAACTTGCAGCCTTCACTTGAGTAAGGAAATGAGTTTCTGTTGGTGAACTTTTAAGTAGTCTGTTGATTTGTAAGTGTTTTAGCTCAGGTAGTGGTCCTGCTGCCCTGTAAAAAAATAACTGCCTTGATTTGTATAATTTTCCCTCCTGTCGTCTTGAGTTGAAAAGGCATTTTCTTTCCCTTGCTGATAGGAACCTCTAGGAGTAATTGAAGAGACACACCGAGAGAGTGAATTCTGAGGATCATGGCTTAGTGGGCAGGCGGCATAAAGGGACAGTGATTTCTCTCTTACATTGGGTGGCAGTGGTCAGGCTTAGTGTGAGGTGGTCAGAATAAACAGTTGATTTTTAAAATGCGTGGTTTGTTTTGTATACAAAGTAGAGAGTATATACTTCCTTAGCAAGTTAGTAATTTAAAAATCAAATATGTTATGCAGGCAGCTTGTTTTAGCAACACTTCTTTTCACTGGAAGGGAAATTAGCCAGGGAATTGGTTTGAGTAATCTGTGCATGGAACTATGCACAATCCTCAATAAATGTAGACTAGTAATACATGCACCTCTCAGTCCCGATCTTGATCCCTGATCTCGGTGGCATAGAGCATAAACAAAAGCGAGTTCTTAATTTTTGACATACCTCAGGGAATTGATGGCACCAATGTGTAGGAGCAATAGAAATTCCAAGGAGGGAGGAGGCAAGGAGGGGCTTGAGCACTAAAGGGATTTGAACCTCTCCAAAGGTGTTATTTCAAAGTATAAAAAGGTAACAAGTACTTCTAACTGACGTTTGGCACTTTGTTATGAGATGTGTGGTAATATATTGAAAATGTTTACAAATACTGCAAGATAATTTAGGCTATCTTAATCTCCCTCAATCATGTTAGCTTAAGGATGATACTGCACATCATGCAAAAACATTTCATCTACACAGTATTGACACAATTTCTGATTTATTTAAGGGGGGGTGGGGAAAGAAACAGCATTGAAGGAAGGTAGGAACTTTCCCTAGTGCAATATTTAAGACCAAAGAAGTTATTTTGTTGGGGAAGGGGAAGGTTGGCGAGGAGTTGTAGGTTAACAGCTTGTTGCATAGCAGGAACTTGGCTTGTATGACCATGGGACCCCGTCTGAGGTGCAAGGACTGCTGAAGAGGGACAGCATCCTCCTGGCCAAGTGGGGCAAAAGCATCTTTGCCAACAGTCTGGCCAAACTGGTATGGGCAGCTTTAGACTAGGACTGAGAGAGGAAGGAGGTGATGACTCACAAATCAAGAGGAGAAAGTGGTGGACTGAGCTGGTAAGCAAAGGATGCAAGGTTATGTTGAGAGGAGTCCTTAAAAACAACTAATTAGGGGAGAAAGGAACTTACACATGTAGGTAAATACAAATAGGAAATATCTGTATATACAATGAGGCCAACATTATGAGGGAGAAGCTCTTAGACCTCTTCAGGGAAATGAGCATCTTTGACCTGCCAGTACATTGATGCATGCAGCATGGGGAAAAATGGGGAAGTAGGGGGCTGTATGAAGTTGCAGAGCTATGATTTCATTTGGATAACAAAGATGTGATAGGATAGGCAGTACAGTGCCACCATGGATGGATGCAAGCCCTTCAGTGGGGATGGGCTGGGAAACAGAGTGGGACTTACTCTCTACTGAGAGAACAGTAGGGATGCATGGAAGTCTGCCATGGCATTAAAAAAAAATTGTGGAAACAACAACAAACAGTCAGAATTAAAGCTTGCTGAGTGACTGGGAATGAGGTGGCTGCTGACACTACTCAAGTGCCAAATGGTTTTCAAGAGCTGGATGTTGAAGCTATGCTGATTCCTATGTGCCCTTCTTTCCCCACCTCTGCCTGGAGTTCAGTGTGGGGCAAATACTCTACACTAATCAAAGACTGCAATTTCACAATGTGGATGTTGTTAATTTTGAATTTATTGTTAACTCCAGGGGGTTTGTGATGTCAGCCGTTTAATCGTGTCAGAGCTGAAGAGATCACAAAACCCAAATTTGTAATCAGGGATGTAGGTTTAAGGCATAATGTCTTGTGAAATGCCATGTCTATGGGTGGCCTTTCAGTATGTGAAGCAGGGGGCATATATTACGGCCATCATGACCTGGGAATGCATTTTCCCTCTGATGAAACATGTAAGTGATTGTAGCAAGTTTCAGGGGATTTTTTATTTTGAAAACTGCGACCGTATCCTGCCCTCTGTTCCTTTCCAGTTTAAAATTAACCAAAAAATTAACCTATCATACAGAGCATTTTTATTTTTTTTTTTAAGATACTTTATGACTTTTCTAAAACACATACTGACTTATTATTAACTTATTTCTCTACAGAGTGTGATAGGTGTACAGCTGGTGGTTACCATGGTAATGGCTAGTGTCATACAGAAGATCATACCTCACTATTCTCTTGCTCGTTGGCTTCTCTGTAGTGGCAGGTAAGATAAGAAACAGTTGCTATACAATGTGTGACTATGACAATGCAGTTATGCATTAGAGCGGTAACAGTAATTCTTGAAAAGTAATTGACAGCTGTTCTTAATAGTGTAGCATTGTGCCACCTGATTTGCAGGCTCAAGGTAAAACCACAGTGTTGCTGTAAAAGAACAGAATTGTTTGTTGCTGCTAATGGTATCAGTCATTAAGTTAATTGTTCTTCAACTCTTATATTAAAGCTACAAGGTACATCCTTTAATATTAAAAAGCTAAACTGAATACAAGATACTGAAGTATGGAAGGATTTTTTTTCCTCTGCACTGCCTCTGCGGTGTTGTTAATCCACCTCCTGATTAGCTTTTCATATAAACAGTACTTAGGTATTTGTTAAAAATTCTGGGTTTTTAATACTTCATAGGACAGGATTAGCATAAATTCAATATACTACTTCCTTGTAACAATAGATCAAATAGACATAGTGAGTTGCAGGGGGAGCATTCCCTGTGTGTCTCTGTCCATAATAACAATGAAAAACAACAGCTGTTTTGAATATAAATCAGTATGCTAAATATTAAAAGGAATCATAGACACTGTTTTTTTCATTTGGTAGGAAAAATACTTAGTTTGATTAGAAGGTAGAGTGCTGTCTTTTGTAATTGTTAAAATTTTGAGAATACGTGTGGTATTCAAGGAGTATCCCTTGAATAATAATATACTCCATAAGAGTATTAATGAGTCTTGTATAATTTTCCATTACCTTTTTTCCATTGCCTTTTTTGATTCTACATCTCTTAATTACCAACTTGTTTCTTTTTAATTTCCCACATTTCATCACCCAGCAAGTTGCTAGTGAGAATTGACTGTAAATGTTGTTTAGAGGTGTGTTATGTATAACAGAAAACAGTAGTTGTTAGGTGAATAACACGAACAGGAATCATACTCTTAATGAAGTTTCATTGTTGACCACATCTGCAGGGTGATGATCACCTTTTTTGTGCCCTAAAAAGAGTATTACATTAATGAATATGAAACTACCTACCATTTGCTTTTCAAGTGTATTACCACTAGAGTGTTTTTTATCACCAAAGGGCATGTTATACTTTTTATGTCCTATTTAGACTTTTATTTCAAAATTTAAATATCTAATTGCTCTTTTAAAAGAATTGCTCAGTATTATGTCTGCGATCTTCGTTCTTTCAAAGTTTTCACTCTCTGTATCCTTGTTCTAAGGCATGTACCAATGATAGGGAGAGGTTTGCTGTTCAAATATTTTTTCCTAATCCTTTTCTCCATTTATCTTTGCACACCTGCAGATTGATAAATACATGAAGCAAGATTTCAGCACTTGTGCTTAGGTAATTCTGCTCCTACTGAAGTCAATGGGAGTCCTGATATTGCCTTTACTATGTTAGTAGCCTGGAAATCTCATGGTTGCTTTTCAGTGTTCTTTTATTTACCTGGTAACTTATTTTAGTTCATTGTAATTTTAGACACTATGAATAATTCCCTGAATACAGGAATTGTATGAAGAGTCAGAAATAATTCTGTGTACCAGAAATGAAAACAAGTTAGAAGCTTTGTGACAACAAGAATCTCGAGTTGTAATGGCAGAAAGAAAACCAGTTATTTTGATGGTTTAGTTGAGAAACTATCTATTATTTTTAACCTATTTTTCTTTAGTTTTGTGTTTTTGCCAGTGGTATTTGGTTTGGCAGACCTGGGCAGGTGGAATGGTAGGGTGTTTTATACACAAAAGTGTACAGGTACAAATAAGCACACTCCTAAGCAGTCCAGATGGCCTAGGAGAAGTTACTACCTGCTCCTCCTTTCCTTTGTCAATAGACTCCAACTCATCTTTGGTTCCCAATAGTGATTTTTAAGTGATTTGAACTAAATGTCTTGCTTCCAAAGGGTTGGCAGGCTTTCCTAAGGAAGATAGACCGAAATGTCTATAGATAGTCCTTGCCAAATGGGAGAGAGGATAAATGTGTTACCAGACAAGATGGAAACACTTAAGTGACCAGTTGATTTCAAGATGCCTATATGTGTACAAGCAAAGTCCATTAAAAGGAAGCACAGACATTTCAAAATTTAAAAGAATTGTTAGAATAGACAGACATAAGATACTTACATCATTGACTGTCAAAAAGCTATTTACTTAAATTTGTAAAGAAATACAAACTTTTTCAATCAATGCTATTTTCAGAGCTTGAATGGAATTTAAATATATTTATTGGAAGAATTGGCAGCCTAAGTATCTGTATATGCCTTTGCATTTTTAACTAATAAAACTTGCTCTACCAAAATGTTGCTTTTAAGTTGCTCAGCTGTTTCAGTTGTTCTGTTTTCAGGCCACTTCAGGAAGACAGGAGAAAATGGGATGTTTTGTCGTGCATTCATTAATGATCTTCATTCAGATTAACTGGGGCATATCTGTGTGGCTGTTGCTATTCAAACTAACTTGGATATGTCAAAGCCACAGTTGTGGGATTTCAGATTTAAGCATATGTAAGCTAGAACAGATACAAATTACTTTTTTATTGTCTCCCTCTTTATGAAAACGTTGGTTCAAATCTCTTGGTTTTAAGATTTTAAATGCTAAGTGTATAGGGTTTTTGAACTGAAAAATCCCCAAACTCTTGTATCCTATTGTAATTAGGTATCACTTCCAACATAATATTCTGTATTAGGAGCAAATTGTAACTTAAGTATTTGATTTGGGTTAGCATACTACACAGAACAAGAATTTTGTCTGTTCTGCTGCATTAGGTACTATTTCTCCGTGCAGGAAAGATTTTGAAAAACTTCTTCACAGCTTAGGTAGCTTTCATCATTACAGAACTACTTATGGTAGTCTCAGCATGCCAAATTCAGATCCGGGAGATTGTGAATAACGAAGCAGAAGAATATTTCTCTGCTTTCTCACACTTTCTTTGGGTCATGTGAAAGATAGGAAGAAGTCAGCATCTCCAACGTAGTTTGTCTTCCTGGATGAAAAGGTTGTTTCTCTAGTTTCTGTGTGTCTCAGTCTTAACAAAGTCTCTTTTGCAGCAAAGTTTACAAACCACAGATTTTTCAGCTAGGACCACACATGATGAAAATAAGTTAATTAAACAACATTCACTCTTAGTTACACTGAAAAAAAACCTGAACAAAAGTCAGCTCCTCTTTTTTCCCCCCAAAACTCTGTTTGTGCAAAGTCTGTAATATTTGCTATTTTCAGTTTTGGAACTGGCAGTCAATTCCTTCAAGGGAAATTTGTGGTGTTTGATGTTTTATTGACTGGTATTGGAGTTCTTTTCTCTCGAAAAGATCCCAAGCTGAAGGAAGCCTTTCCAAAACAGAGCTGGGAGTCAAGTGTTATCAAGTGGCTTGAGGTTGTTTGGGTTTTGATGCTTACTTTCCAAATTTGCCCTGCTATCTCATTGAACTTGGATGTGACATCATCTCTAATTCACCGACATAGATTTGAATCATCCTACTTGGTGCAGTGTACTTAATATGAGCAGATGGTTGTGGATTCCATTATTGCCTCTAACTATTACCAGTGTAAACCCATGTCGCTGTGGGTGACAATTAGTGCCCTCCTACTTCCACATACATTTCCCAAGTCTTTTTTGGTTAATAATTGGTCTCCTTTACCTCAGCATTTGAGAGTGGAGATCACAGTGACATCCTTCCTGCATGTGGACGATAATCTTCCCTTGTTGAATGTGGAAAAGGCCTTGTTTCAGCTACTGAGGTTTTTGATGTACTTAGAGATTTAAGTAAAATATACCATCCTAGCACTTAACCATCTCTGTTTTTCTTCTTCAGAATTTCCTTCCCACTTCTTGCCTTTTAAATGAATGAGCAATGGATGATGCATTGATTTGTGAAAGTGGAAAAACTTGTAGGTCAACTGCATGTAAATTAGTGATTTTTTTATATCACTTTTTCTAGTAGGATTTAAAGCTAGCAGTGAGGAGGCTTTTAGGAAAGGAGTGTTGATGTTATGATCTGCTCTGCTTAAGAAAAAGACTGGTAATGATTATTAGATAATAGCTATTTCAGATTCTGAAAAATTGCTGGGTTTTTGAGGGTATAATTATGTTTTATAAAATTGTTTAGAATATGGTTCTGATGGGTAATTTTAATGGTATAGTTGTTCTAATGAACCTTTTCTACAAGCCCTGTATTTGGTGATATCTCTAAAATTTGGTGTTTTGAGAACTGAAGGGCTTTCATGTGAATGACAACTGTCAAAGCTTTCTAATCATAAATAAACATCTCACGCTGAAGAGAACTGAAGTTTAACTGTGGTTCAGTTCAGGCACGATTGGTACTGGCACATAAGGGTGTCCTGCTTAGGAGTGGCAAATGACTGGTGTCTTGATAGGCATGTAGGTCTGCACTGACATACAGTTTTTAAAAGCCCCACTCTACATTGCAAACACAGGTATTGTTATACTTAAAATTTTCTTTTTCTTCAGTTTACGGTGGTATCAACATCCCACTGAAGAAGAACTACGGATTCTTGCAGGGAAGCAAAGAGGGAAGAGCAAAAAAGACAGGTAAATACTTGTTTCAAGCTTTTCTTCCCCTCTCTTCTGTTTTTTTTCGGCATGTTCATGGAATAACTTTGCCAGCCAACTTTTGTCTTTGTGTGAGTTAAAAACTGCTAGTTGCATATGACTACCCCACTTGCATTAATTGTCCCAGTTCTTTACCAAAATGCGTTCTTTCAGTTTAACAAAGGGTTGAACATTGCCAAGTTGTGTAGAACTGGTTAATTTCCAGTTCACAAAATGGTCTGTGAAGCTGCTAATTTGGTGGCAAAGCTTTTTTTTTCAGTGGATGTATTTATTTAGATAAAAATTGAGGAAAACAAATCTTAGAATTGAACCTCTTCTCTTGAATCAAGGGAAGAAAGATTTGAGTATATTAGTTCAACTTAGATTATTAGGATCTGCCACTCTTACACAGCTGTGAAAAAGGTAAATGTGCTCCTAGGATGTATTACGTGAGGTGTTTCTAGTAAAGAGAGAGGGTAATATTAATCCTCTTGGACAAGACACCAGTGTAGAACTCTATCTGCATTACTGTATACAGTTCTGATCACTCATGTTAAAGAAAAATTAATTTTGTATGTGAACAGGTGAACAGAGCTGCTAGGATCATCCAGGAAACAGAAAGTGTCTTACAAGAGGGGCCTAAAAGAGCTGGGCTAGTTCAACCTATCAAAAAGGCAACTGAGGAGGTGGGATAGCTTAAACTGGAAACAGATTTCTGGTGTTCAGACCTGAGGTTCTGAACAGAATAACATGTACTTCTGAACAAAAATACAGCTGTGTCAAGAACCGAGACATCTGAGGTGGTGGAGCTCGTCTTGTTGATGTGATATTTCTGAATTGGCTATGTTTAAAACAACCAATGCCCTCTGGTTTTCTTTTGGCAACACAGGAGGTTTCTTTTAGCCCTGTTTCTTCTATCCCAGTATGAACTCTCTTATAAATAAATCTTAAGACTTAATTTACACATTTCTCATATAATCTGTTAATTGTAATGTCACTTTTTTCCCTGTTTCCTAGCTCTTAAGATGCATGGTTGGGAACATTATTTGCTTCTGTGATTCACAGAATCACAGAATCATTTAGATTGGAAAAGACCTCTGAACTCCCCTAGTACAACCTTTGACTGATCACCACCTTGTAAACTAGACCATGGTACCAAGTGTCACATCCAGTCATTTCTTGAACACCTCCAGGGATGGTTAGTCCACTACCTCCCTGGGCAGTCCATTCCAGTTCCGTGAAGAAATTCCTCCCGATGTTCATCTTGAACCTCCCCTGGCTCAGCTTGAGAGTACATCCTCTTGTCCAGTCATTGGTTACCTGGGAGAAGAGACCAACCCCCACCTGGCTATAACCTGCTTTCAGGTAGTTGAAGAGAACGATAAGGTCACCCCTGAGCCTGCTTTTCTCCAGGGTAAACAATCTCAGTTCCCTCAGCCTCTCCTCATCAGACATAACCCCCACGTCCTTCCCCAGCTCTCTTGCCTGTCTCTGGGTTCACTCCAGCATCTCAATGTCTTTCCTGAATCGAAGGACCCAGAACTGGACACAGTACTCAAGGTGTGGCCTCACTGGTGCTGAATACAGCGAGACAATGACTGCCCTGGTCCTGCTGGTCACACTATTGCTGATTCAGGCCAGGATGCCCTTGGCCTTAGTCAACCTGGGTACACATTGGCTCATGTTCATCTCTTCTGTCAACCAGCACTCCCGGATCTTTTTCCAATGGGCCACTTTCCAGCCACTCTTCCCCCAGCCCATAGCACTGGGTTGTTGTGACCCAAGTGCAGGACTCAGCACCTGGCCTTGTTGAACCTCATACCTTTGGCACCAGCTCACTGATCCAGCCTGTCCAGATACCTCTGCATAACCTTTCTGCCCTCCAGTAGATGAACACTTCCACCCAACTTGGTGTCATCTTCAAATTGACTGAGGGGGTATTTGATCCCTTTGTCCAGATCGTTGATAAGGATGTTGAACAGGACTGGCCCCAACACTGATCCCTGGGGGACACCACTAGTGACCAGCTGCCAGCTGAATGCAGCACCATTCACCACCACTGTCTGGGTTAAGTTGTTCCTTGTAAAATTAAAGCTATATAATAGTAATTTTTTTGCAATATTCTTTAAAATTCAGAAACTCATTTTATCTAACAATTTTCTGTGACAAATTAAGGCAAAATAATTGTGAATAGCATTACAATTTGTAGCAATCCATTTAACCAGTGATATTTATTTATGTGTAAAATAACTTTGTTATGTAATTATAACTTTATGTTCACTCATAGGAGCCTTAAACAGAAAAACACAATCACACTGCGAAGTAATAATTGTACTTTGCTCTTATTGCCTTTCCTCAACCTTGCTAGTCTTTTCCCACAGTTGTAGTAGGTGCTTGTTCGAGGGTGAACGTTAATCACCAGGGATATAAAACTTCAAAGAAACCAAAGCGATAACGTGGAGGCTTAAATGATGTTTGCTTTGCTTTTTTTAACAGCTGAATAATACATTTAGTGAATAAATGTACCTCTGTGTCCTTTAAAGAAGTGACTGTTCTTGAGGGAGAACCATAGTTAAGGAGGAATTGTTCCTGTTGATCAGTTTGGATGTACTGATTTAGATTGCACAGAATGGAATGCACATCTCCCTGTGAATCATCTCAACAAGGAGATGTGAAACAGATGGTGTAGGAGAAATAAGGATGCATCTATTTGATACTCCCCATGTCTTTTCAAGATAAAGAATCTGCTTTGTCCAGCCTATAGTCTTTAAAAATATAATATCTGCTCCTTAAATACTTTGCCCATCTGAACTAATTAAAAGAGAAATGATGAAAGGAGATACAAGGAACTTGCTTGAAAATTAGCCTTAGAAACAGCTGTAGTGTGAACTTCTAGTCCATTTTATTCAGTGCATATTATACTTCAGTATATTCTGCTGTAGGTTATAATAGCACCTGAATATTAGGCAAATTTTCTACTTCAGCATAAATTGTGTTTATATTAAATTCCTAGGCTAATGAAAAGGTCCATAGCTGCTATCAGTTACTTTGAATTAAAGCTTCCAATGATCCCAGGTGTGTTCTGTCTGTGTCTCTTGGATTGTGGGTGCCTTGGGATAATTACAGTGTAGGAACACCAAATTTTGTTGAACTGAAATAGCTTCAGTCATCAAAATGCTGATCTCACTCAAGATGATGGTACTCCTGGGTGCATGGAGTAGGAAAATAATCAGGAGTGCAGCTGTGGGCAGGGAACTGAGTTTTTTTGAGAAATGCCTTAGATTCCTATCCACAGTTTGTCTGTTAAAATTGTTTGGATGATACTAAGAATTAATATAACTTGAAAAAATTCTATTAATGCTTTCAGCATGTATTCTCATTTCACATATGAGCTGAGATTGATTGAATTTCTTTTTAATGCTTATATATAACCCAATAATTTTCTATGTCTTTCTATGGAAAATCTAACTCTCCTTTTCTAATTTCAGAGGTGGTATTCTAGAATGTGGCAGAGTTTACTGTTTCCTTCTAGCCATTTAAAGATTTTAAGTTGGGGTTTGATTTTTTTAATCTAACAAAACATTTTCCGATCTACTTAAATGATTTTTTTTAATAGTGTTGAGATAAATTTTACCTTAGTAATAGTAATCTGTCAGACCAATTTCATCTAACTTTGTTAATTTTCTTTTAAGAATAATGGTTTTTTTCAATTTGAAGTCTACCAGTATGACTTATTTTCGGGGAAGTGAAGATCGTGATGTTGGCAGAGTTTCAGAGTTCCAGATGAAAAGCACCCTGTGTTCTAAATACACATCTTTTTAGATTAGAAAGCTGTCTTGAAGTTGTCTTTGCCTGATGGCTGGTAGGATGGATCTTTCAAGGACCTAGGTTAATCCAGATCGTGTGATGTACTTGCTAAGCACCTTGTTGTGATAAGAGGGACTGATGCTTTTTTTGTGGTTTTTTTTTTGTTTTTTTTTTGACTGTGGGAACACCCTGTAGCTCTCTGAACAGAGAAAATCAATGGGCTGAAGTAAATACTGGCCATTGGATCTTGACCCAATACTTGCTCAGGATGCAGCATATAGAAGCCATTTAAACCCATACCACAGCAGTATGTTGAAATATGTGAAGGTAAAGCTAGGAACCATTGACATACCTGGCTGCTTCTCAGGATTTCAACTTGAAATATTACTTTAAACCAGATACATAAAAATATTTGCATTTGGGGAAAAAAAAAAGTGATCTGCATTTTTCTTAAATTTGAAATGTCATTATATATTGAAAAAGTTTATTTTGTCATACTCTTGTTTGTATTATCTCCTTATTTCTTTATTTTAACAGAAAATATAATGGTCATATTGAAAACAAGCCCTTAACCATTCCAAAAGACATCGATCTTCATCTGGAAACAAAATCGGTGACAGAAAGGGACACTATTGGTAAGAATAACTCTATTCAAACAGTAATATTTCAGATATATACTTATTGTTTCTATGAAATGTTTATTTGCAATTAATGGTGGAATATGTCTTTTATAGACAATTAATGAATAGGAGTAAAACTGATCATAAATGAGAAAGCAAATATTCAGGCTAAGTCTCCTTTCATGTTCCATGGGTAGCATTTTAATAGCAGTGTTGTGGAAAAGGATGAATATAACGGTCTTAAGCTCTGCCAGGGGATGTTTAGGTTGGATATTAGGAAAAAATATTTTACAGAGAGAGTAATCAGACATTGGGGGCCCCCTGGTGGTCTAGTGGTTAGGATGCAGCACTCTCACCACCACGGCCCGGGTTCAATTCCCGGTCAGGGAACTCCTCCGGGCAGATGGAGCTCGTCAGCCCTGTAAGGCCATCCATCTAAGAGAAGGTCACTCTAAACAAACCTACGTCCTGAGGACCTCACTGCCACCGTCCGAGCTCGCTCGGCCCCGGCAGATAAACCTCAGGATTAAAGGGTGGGCTCAGTTCAGCGCACACTGGGTCTCACCTAAAAAATCCACTGCGCAGGCTCGAAGGGTAAAGACCTTTCCCAAATCTTCGTTCGTGAAGACTGGCCATGATGTTAATCAGACATTGGAATGGGCTGCCCAGGGAGGTGGTGGATTCACTGTGTCTGGAGGTTTTTAAGATGAGACTGGATGTGGCACGGAGTGCCATGGTCTAGTAACCACAGTGGTAGTGGATCAAGGGTTGGACTTGATCTTAGAGGTCTTTTCCAACCCGGTTGATTCTGTGATCCTATGATAAAGCACAACTGTTATATCAGACTTCCATAGCGATGTGAGACAACACCAAAAGAATCACTTCATAGTCTATTCAGAATAGAGTTTGTAGCTTTGTACAAGAAAATAACAATTGACAGATGTCAAAACATATATTTTCTGCTTATCTAAAATAAGAAATGTGCTGTAGCATTGAAACCTAGACCTTTCAACCACACACTGGAAACATTAAGGTAAAATGTTTAAAAACACGAAGTGACACAAGTACAGAAATATGCAGCATTAAGTGTTTTGGAACTTGCTGTTTTTTAAATGGTGATTTTCGATTCCTTAGTCATAATCAGTCATTCTGTTACAGAAAATTCATGTATGGATATGTATGTAAGTGTGATACATATTTTCTTCCTTTCTACATTTTTACATGAGTGTGTTCTCTGGATAAATATAGAAAGAATGGAAGCATAGTCCTCTGCAGGAGACTTCTCAAATTATAGGAGACGGTGTTTCTTTAACACCGCAGAGTTTTTTGTAGCTACTATGTAAATAAACAAAGCGTTCCCAAGTTTCAATCAGTGCTATTTCCTTGAAATTGTAGCATTTAATTGTCTACCTGAGTGATACAAGATAGGGTTTAACTGTCTTTGAGAAGTTATATATACAAGTTTTTCTGGTGAATCTAACCAGATTGTTATTTCAAAATAAGTACAGGACTTGGAAATATCCAAGTTTGGCCAATTTCATGTGCTTGCCAACAGTTAGCTTGTAGTCAAGTCAAACGTTCAGTAATGTTTTCTGACTTTCAAATTGTGAAGGTGTAGGGAAGGTGTTTGTGTGGGATAGACCACACTTTGCTGTCAAAAATTGTTCTTTGTGGTTTCCAGCACCTCTGGGAGCTCTCTATTCATTGATATGAATCCAGCCTGTATGTAACACAGTACAATCCCCAGAATTTTTACAGTTAAATTTACCCGATGACTATTGCTGTACAGGATGTATTAACAAAATCTGGAAGAATAAGCCATCAGTATCTTAGATGTTGGGATTTTTTTAAATAAAAAGAAGTGATCATATGTAGTATATTAAATGATTGCCAATGAGCTTTAACAGAAAGCCAGAAAAAACTCTGAACTGGAATTGTAGCTAGACTCAGCTGAAGAACTGACCTGTTTTCTTTCTGTAGTGTGAAATCTACATTATGTATGCCTTTTCAATTTAGGATGTTACTGTATAAAACTGGGGTGATAAAATAGTAAAATCTTGTAGCCTTTTAAATGTGAGTAGGTTCCAATGACCACAAGTATTGAATGACAGAAGTGAAGAATGAACTTGACATTGTTGAGTAAGAATATGTGGCTTTTTTACTGTTGTTGCACTTCACTTGCTTGATCTGGGTCTACCTAGAGTTCACTTAACTGAAAACTTTTTTTAGTTGCTACTCCATTGTATATATGTTAAAGCATACCTTTAGCATTCACAAATTTTTATTTTTCAGCACTGCATTATTTTCCGGAGTATCAGTGGTTGGTGGATTTCACTGTTGCAGCTACAGTTGTGTATGTGGTGACAGAAGCCTATTACAGCATTGTGAAGCCCTCACAGGAAATGAATATCAGCGTAGTGTGGTGTCTGCTTGTCTTGGCTTTTGCAGTGTATCCTTTGCTGTTTTCTTGAATCACTCTACTTGTTCCAAATAGTTTACATAATAGTGTAATTCATATAAATCTCTGTGTTGCTAATGGGCAGGATACACAAATATTTAGCATTTGGGAATCATGTAAGCTAGTACCATTGTTTGATAATGTGTATGCTGCACATGCTCTTTGTAAATGCTGGTATCAATAGCTTGTTAACATTAATACCAAATCATTTATGGGAAAAATATATGTGTGCAAATACTAGTGTTCATCTGTAGTATCCAGTGGTTCTAAACTAATTTGGTTTTGCTCAGTTTGGCAATCACAAATAGACTTCTGTACAGAAGATACAGCTTTTGGAGAAGTTTGGAAATCTATTCCACACTTTTTGTTTTCAGTATGCTTAATACTTCTTGAACAAAAAAGCCCTACTTGCTTCATTTTTCAAATGTCAGGAATAACCAATTTAAATAACACTACAATTAATTGCAATTCTAGGTGAAACAGAGTTGTGAATTATATATTGTAGGAAAATCCACTGCAATAGCCCTTTCTTACCGTGGTTTTGAATACAGTCCTATTACTGCTTTCACTTGTTCATCAGTTCAGGGCAAAACCTTAAAAAAGATTTAAGCTGCCTGTCAGTGCAAGTTTTCTGTCTCAGTAGGGTGAATGGGCAAGTGGCTGTTAGAGTCTGTATGGTTTCTGGGCTGATGGGATGAAGTAGTGTGATCCTGTACAGTGTGGCAATGCAGAAGGCTGCAGTACCAGGAAGCACAGTCTAAATTTTATATTAGCATTAACATCTCCATAAATGTGTCAACATAACTTATTCCAGGCATTACAGCTTTCAGAGTGAAGGAGAGCGATGCAAAGAGTGATATACAGAGGCATTGGTAACATTCCCTGTGGTCATTGGAACCTAGTCAGATGAGATTTCAGAAGAAAAGCGGTTCATTCACGTGTTGTGACATCAGGCCTCTGGGATGCGAGAATACTTAAAACTTACTCAACTAATTACTAATTTGGTATGTCAAGACCAGAATGATTCTATGATAATTGACATGCTAGAGAAATTTGGTTACCTCCCTATTTTCGATTGACATCAGTCAATGTGATATGTCAAAAATTAAATATAGAACAGTTTTGTGTTTTGTTGACAAGTGTTTCTTCTGTTTTGTGGGTGTATGGTAAGAGGTGATAGTTTATAATAAGGATTTGACTGAATGAATGACCAAAAAAGTTTAGAGAATTTGGAAATGATAATTAGACATTTTTCAGCTGTGTCTTCCAGAAATGGATGTTTTGATTCAGTGCAGTAACCCACTGTTAGCAACTTTTAATGTTCATAGTGTAGATAATCAGAAAAGTCCAAGAAGCTAATTTAGTCTACACATCTATGTATTAGCAGAAATTTAGTAGTCTAAAAGCAGTAGTACTTGTGTTCCTGGTAATGTGGGTAAACAGTTCCAGGATAGGGATCTCTCTTACTTGTAGTGGAATAGAAAAATAAATCTTTAAATGGCTAGATAGTTTCAGGAAGACTAAAAGGTGTTTCTTGGAGACACCATTTGGAAGACCTGCTGTACCAGCTGCTCAATGTTTAATATTTTTGAAAGGCTGCGGTATATGGTGTTGGACCATCAGTTTTTTTTTTTTCATCACTCACTGTTTCATCACACACTCAGTTTCCAGTGCCTGAAATGGACTAACAGAAGAACTAGCAAAACAAAGATGTTAAGGGAGTTTTTAAGACAGGTTATTGTCATAACCTTCTGATTGTGAATTTTGCCTTAAAAATTACTTTTGCAGTGTTACTGAGAACTCATTTTGGTGTAGACTATAATGTTTCAATTACAATTTTTTTTTATTATTCCTTAGTTACATTTTATTGCAGATAGTAACTCTTCACAGATTGATTTCTCTTATTCTGAAATTTGAGAAGCTGAGTGCTTTTCAAATATTCCAACTGAGCTATTGATCACAATTTTCAGTGTAGCAGTTGCAGCCAAATTACTAGCAAAAGACTGCCTTTGTAAAATAACAAAATGCTTACCAGATGATATAGTCACCTCAAAAACAGGGACAGAGACCAGGTAGAGGTGTTTAATGCGTTCTTTGCCTCTGTCATCAACACCGATGAATGACTAAGGGTGTCCCAGTGCCCGGGCTGAAGGACCATAGCTGTGAGGATGATAAACTCCCAGCTGACTCTAAACCTGTCCTGGATTTGCAGGGCTCCATCTTAACGCCCAGTTCTCTTAAACATCTTCCTAAACAACTTGGACACGGGACTTGAAGGGATGCAAAGTAAGTTTGCAGATGATACAAATTTAGGAGTTTTTGGCTCCCTGTAAGGCAGGGAGTCCTTTCAGAAAGACCTTGACAAATTCGTTGGTTGGGTAGTCATGAGCTGTATGAAGTTTGACAAGGACAGGTGCTCTTCTCTCTGGTGACCAGTGACAGGACCCAAGGAAATGGCATGAAGCTGAGTCAGGGGAGGTTTAGGTTAGATGTCAGGAAATGGTGTCTTACCCAGGGGGTGGTTGGGCACTGGAACAGGCTCCCCAGGGAAGTGTGTCTGTCTGAGTTCAAGAAGTGTTTGGACAAGGCTCTCAGGCACATGGTGTGATTCTTGGTGTGTCCTGTGCAGGGCCAGGAGTTGGACTTTTAATGATCCTTGTGGGTCTCAGCCAACTCAGAATATTGTGTGATTCTGTGAATTGACAGATTTCATGTGTTTTAGTAGGAACAGAAGATGGATCTTTTTCTCTTCAACCATGTGGACTGTATAATTAAAAAATTACATAATTACAGCAGTTTAAAAAAAAAAAATATTTTTGTAAAGGGATGTACCATAAATTCTACAGGCATATCACCTCTTGTGGCCAAAACAAAATAAATGAAAGTGGGGGATGAGGAATCTATTAACTTAGCACTGAATACTCCCAGATTATTCCTTTAGTAGGTACTGAATAGTAGATCAGGCAGTGAAAGGAAGTGATGAAGCAAGCCACAATGCTTCAATTTTCTCCATCCCTAAAATAGGAGCAGTGGTGATTATTCAACTAACAGAGGGTTTCAATCACGTGTAGTTTGCATAATCATTAATCTATTTATTGAGTTCTGAATCTGCACTATAATTGGAGTTTATTGTCAGTATTCTTTCTTTTTCCTGGTTGAATTTTCTGTATCTTTCAGGCACAATCCATAGTTGAAAACATGATGTATCCAGGGGGTTATAAATCTGATTATAGGTTAGGACTGTAGATCACAAACTGTTATTAAGTCCTTTGTATAACTTCAAGGTGTTTTCAATTTCTGATTGATGTCCCTAGCTTTAAAAAGACATTTGGTTTAAGGATGTATTATTAGAGAAATAAAGCTTTCCAGAACACAAGTCTGTATGACCTATTATGTGCCTCTTTTTGGGATGAGGTAAGTCTTCCTTTAAATATATAAATTTTTTCTGTAAAGTATGAAGGGATCTTAAGTTGATTACTATGAGCTTAGAATTGTTGGATGCTGTGCTTAGGCCACTCTACTCTGTGCATTTGAAAACCTCTCTGCATACACATGAAATGCAACAATGCCTGTGTAAAATATGTGCTGCCTGATGAAGTGTGGCATTGCATAATCGTGTTTTCTTGAGAGGTTAACTGATGACTGGTCAAATGTTTTACTGAATAGATACACTAAAACTTGTTTTCTTATAATCTACATCTTAAAATTCTTCGGTATTAAAAAAATGCAAATATGAATGTTATTACATTGTGGGGAAAAAAAAAAGGTGTACAGTTTACGTTTAAAATCGAGTTTTTCCTTGGTCTCTTTGCCTTTTCAAAGCATGTAGTGTCTGGAATGATCTCCAAATACTTTATTTAAATCTGCGCTGGATATTACCTGTCATTTGAAAATAAAATAAATTATGATGGGCTGCAGTTCACAGTAATCAGAGTTGACAGCGTATCATCAAAAATTTGTCATAATCTGTTTAAATTTAGAGCTAATTATATTTAGAAATGTGTAAAAGAGGAGAATATTAAAAAAATATTTTTAAAACATCCTGATAAGAGAGGCGGTGATGTCTTAAATAATTGTCTTTGTGGCACTGGGGTTAGATAAAAGAACTTGATATATCATACCAGACCGTATAGGGTTTTGAAGGCCGATTTTGTGTTTCCAAGGTGAGCATGGGATAGATTTTTTTAGATAGATTTTTCTAGATAGTACTGAATGTACTGTTGTCTTACTTTCTTTGATAGCTAAAAATCTCAAACATGCACAGATCAGGTGCTTAGGGACATGGTTTAATGATGAACTTGGGGTGTTATGTTAATGGTTGGACTCAATGATCTAAAAGGTGTTTTCCAATCAAAATAATTCTAGAATTCTGTCTGAAAGGAGAGAAATACAAGTTCCATCTTTTCATGTGTTTTATGTTTTCTTACTCTAAGTAAACCTAGATCAAAACTGTGCCAGAGTAGTGTATTCCTGGCTACCGATTATGTGATTATTAGGCTTTATTGCATTCTCTAATTTAACCTGAAATTGGCTGAACACATATTACTTTAAGAAAAAAAAAAAAAGGCATATTGTAGAACATCCCTAGTGTAGATGACCAAAATGTAACTTTATAATTCTTAGTTATTTTAGTTGTTACAAGTTATTATAGTTATTACAAGTTTTTATTATATACAAATGGATATTTAGTTCCTTTATAAACTTAATTTTCCTTGACCTTTTTCTTGTGTAGTAAGGTACTATTTTCGTTGACTACCCATTATTTCAAAGTTGAGGATGGAGGTGAAAGATCAGTCTGTGTCACCTTTGGTTTTTTCTTCTTTGTGAAAGCGATGGCAATTCTCATTGTGACAGAAAACTACCTAGAGTTTGGACTGGAATCAGGTAACTCCTTTCTTTAGTGTTTGAAGCAGCTCTAGTGATTGCATGATCTGAAAAAAATTATTTCCAGCGTTTTTGCGAATATCTGTGTTAAAATGAGTGGTATGTGTCATATACTTCTGAAAAATTTTGTTTTGGAATGCAGATTCTAAAGAATATCCCAAATGGTTTCCTTGTTTTCTTTTAAGTAGTGTAATCTTTGCCTGGTTATTTGTTTTGTTAATGATATTTACCTTCCAGTTTTAGATTTAACCCTTTTTGGTTTTCATAGCAAAGTGAAACTCCTTTACTGGAACAGACCAAAAAAAAGTTATATTTTTTCATGTCCTGAAATGTACAAGTATTAGAGATGTTAGTAATCAAGTTTTATTGTATTATGGCTAACTAATTAGTACATGAAAAGCTATGCTAGACATGTGAAAACTTGTTTGAAAGATCTGTTACCTAGTATTTTATTTACAAAAAGGCATTCTGCATTTGTACTGTAATAAAATAAATATAATATATGTGTCTCTACAGGTTTCTCAAATTTCTCTGAAAGTGCTATGCAGTTTCTTGAAAAACAAGGTTTGGAATCCCAGTAAGTTTCTGGACATACATTTGTCTGTTTTATATATGCATTTACAACTGAATCACTTGGATTTTCTTAGCAAGCATTTGACTTGCATGTTTTGCTCTTGTACATGGTTATAATATCTACAATAATGGGAAGAGGTGAGTTAATGAAAAGAATCTGTCAGTACCCACAGTTAACTGAAGTTGCATTAGCGTTTTCTTTTTAATACAGAGGTGGTTTCTGACATTGTGATTGTAGCTCGTAAGATTCAAAACTGTAAATGATTTTTCATGATCTTTCCCTTCAGCTTTGCAAGGATTGTTTAAAATAGGTGATACGTGTTTTTTGTAATTCCTATGGCATGCAAGAGGGTGAGTGTGCAAAAGCTACAGATGGAGTTTGAGGAAATTGGCATTAGGAATAAATTTTGGTGCTCAGTCCTGTTTTTGGGTTGTAATAGCATGCTCCTATCATGCAAAACCATCTACTTGCTACAGGACATCCAAGTTTTGTATAGACTGTTGGAGGAGCATGCCATAGCTTGTGATGTTACATAAGTATACAACTACTGTCTCAGACAGCCTTTGTATATTGCAAAATGGATTTCTGTCACATTTCTTTCTTTATACATGTGCTCTAAAATTTATGGGGCATTTCATTATTGGGAGCGCACCTTTGAATTTCTTGCTTATTAGGTCTCAAGTATCATGCAGAAGCCATGGGATATCTTTATTTTTGAGGAACAGAAGTTTCCTCAACCTAGATTAGCGTCATTTATGAATAAATTCATGGGAAATCTGTGATGGAATCCCATGTGTTTCTTAGCATTTCTTTACTCTGCTTTCCTAAGCTATTTCCTTTTAAGTGTTTGTTTAAACTTTTGCAGTGCTTTGGCTGTTTATAGTAGCAATTGAGTGGATGGTGATTCTTGGTAGTTTAGATGACATAGATTAAGAAAGAATTTGAAACATATGATTTGGTTTTGTTCCTCTTGAATCTATTAGTTACATGTCACTTGGTTTTTTTTGTTGTTTGGGGGTTTTTGCTTTGTTTGTGTTTTTTTTCTTTGTGTGATCCAGTGTTTGTTAATTCTGTAATTAATTCTGTAAAAATTCTGTAATTTGGTTAATCCTGGAAATTTTTTCTGTAATTTTTTCATATAGTATACTAATCACTTGGAAGAGACATGTAAATGGCCACATGTGTGTTTTGGATAAATCTGTGAAAAGCTGCAGGAATAACAATTTGATAGAGCTTTTTAATGGATAATGGTAGAATGAAGTATCCATTTTGTCTTTGACCAATTAAGCTGGTGTCTGTTCCTCTCTTAAAAACATAGTCCTTAAAATCATTCTATTAGCTATTTCTGTTATATGATTTGTTGTTAATTACAATATAAAATTACTCTTTTTTTTTTTCTTTTCTGCTAACAAATTAACGTCTTATGGGCAGTAGCTTAGGTTTTTCTCTTTTACTAGGATAAAAATAGGTGACTTGGTTGGGTATGACATTATTTTTTTAAAATTTTAGCTTCTGATTGGTTTGTAATAATGCTGGTATTCCAGAGTAAGACTATAGAATACTGTTGGCTTTTTTTAATTAAATGTTAGATACTGTTGAGTTGAAAGTAGTCTCTGATACCCCCATCCCCCCAACTTCTTCCCCAAGAAAATGCTTATTTCCTTTCTTTTCTTTTAGGGGTCCTGTGTCTAAACTAACCTTCAAATTGTTCCTGGCTGTTCTGTGTTCACTTATTGGTGCTTTTTTGACATTCCCTGGCTTGCGACTGGCTCAAATGCATCTGGATGCTCTGAATTTAGCAACAGAAAAAATAACACAGTAAGAGAAAATATATGCAAATAGGTATATGCTACTCAGTCTTAAATCTTTTGTGTCTGAAAATAAACAAAGCAAACTATTCCAACAAGAAGGTAGTGACTAAGACTTCTGTTGCTGCGTGCTTTTCATATCTTGAGCAGACTTGCCACCTACCTCTTTCTGCTCAACCTGTGCTCTGCCAGTCTGTTACAGTCTTTGCCTTGTAATTAGAGCCCAATTAAAGGAGCCTTCCTTTCCTCCTGCAAGAGCTCCACCATGACTGTCTCTGTGTTCTGCTTTCATTCACCCATCATTTCCTTCTGGAAGTAAGATAACCTTCAGGAAGTAGAAGTGCAACCACAGACTTTTTTTTCCACCCCCACCTCCAGGTGGGCATTGTGCCTTTAATCAATCTAGTGTAGGATACAGTGCAAAAATGACCCAGAATATTTAATAAGGGTCAGATATTAATATCAGTTTAAAGGAATGTTTTCATTTTCAGTCATTCTTGAGTTTGGCAGTAAAGTGTTTTATCCAATTTCACTATTTCTCTTGAGCATTCTCTGGTTGAGGGTGAAACTCCAGTCTTTCACAGATCTTGATGTTTTATACGTGGTAATGACAGATTCTGCAACATTGGCCATTGTGGCTACTTAGTCTGGTGAATTTCCTAAGAGAACCATTATGTTTTCTGATACAAAAATTATTTTTGTTCAGACTGCATTTTTGTTCTTTTCCCTCATAAATGCCCAGCTTAAAATTAATCTGTTTGATGTGGGTCCTTCGCTCCTGGTAAATTTATAAGCAGGTATGCTGTGTTATTATACTTGCACTCTGTGTGGTTGTCCAGCTACAGCTGCAAGCTGTTGGCTTGTTGTATGTGCTGTTAAGTTTCTCTCTGTGTGTAGACTTGAGTGACTTGAATCACTTCCTAATCTGTTCTTTTCACCTAGACAAAGTTCTTAGTTTTTAGTTTTTATGATTCTCAATATTTTAAAATTTCTTATGCCTTTTCTAAAGTATTCTTTAGTTTTCTAACATCTTTCTTGACCTGTGGACATTACATCCTAGGCAGAAATGTAAACTTTCTGAAACAATAGTCCATTAATCAATAGCTAAAAGCCAATTAATATTCACTAGAATGTGATTATGAAAAATAAAACTTCTCTGGCTTCATGTTTAGAGGATATTGGAACTGATTGTTAAAGCTAACTTTGTGCAACACAAAGCAAATTATTTTCACAAGTACCAGTACTTTGACTATTCAACTGAAAAAATGTAAAAATTATCATAAGTGGATTAAAACTTGGTCAGATCAACATAGTTAGGTAAAGAAATTATAAGCAAACAATCATTGTCAAGTGATAGGTTCTAATAGGCCTGAGACCATTACTTGCCCTTATGACATGTTTCTATTAATGAGTACATCATTTATTGACAGTGACGAAAAGGGTGCTGTAAATGAGAATGACATGTCACTGATACAAAGCTCTCTAATTTGGTTACAGGAAAACTGTTTATCTTTGCAGTCACATGCATAGCCTACTTAAAAAAGCAACCAACCAAACAAAACCAAAACAAAAGCAACCAACCAAACAAAACCAAAACAAAACCAACAAACAAAGCAACCAACCCCTGAAACAAACAAAAAAACTAAGCAAGTTCCCAAAGCTGCCCAAAAAACCCACCAGCTACCAATGTCCCCCAAAACCCAAGCAAAAACCCCCAAAATTAATCAACCCAAAAAAGCCCAACACGAAATCATATTTCTTTACCGAATGAAACACCTAACGTACAGAGAACATGGACCAAATAAAGCCCAAAAACTTGAAGATTAATGGTTAAGTTCCACTTTGCTAATACGTACAAAAATTATTACTGTGATTCTTTTATGTGTGTAGGAATTAAGTTTATCGTTTTGGGTAAACAGAATAAAAATCATCTGGTGTCCCTTTTGGTTTTGATAGCTGTTTGACTTTTTTTTTCCCCTTTAGAAAGCAGTATTCTTTCCTGCATATATTTGGAGTCTTCTTAACCAACTTGTATCATTTTTGTATACATTCCCTCCTCTACCAGGGTCTGCTTCAGGACTCTTTCAGCCTTTCTGCCTATACTTGAAAAAAACAAACAACTGAAACAAACAAACAAACAAAAAACCCCACAAAACCCAAAACCAAACAAAATAAGAAAAAAAGCACCCTTTGTCACATTCCAGTCCATTAACTCAGTAGGATCTCTTAAATAAGTAGAAGTTCAGCTAAAAGGCTTCCACAGTTTAGTGAAATGCTTTGAAATGTTGTTTGATGATGTTGTGTTCCCTAGCAACACTAAATAGTTATCAGGGCTTATTTCTTCATCTGAAATCAATTATTTAAATGTGTGTGATGACATCTTCTGAAACTTGCAGACATTTTAATGGTTTCAGGAAGTTTGACAGTTTTCAATCAGTGAGATCTTGTGTTCTTTAGAACAACTTTTGATTATGTCATTTTCTAGAGTGTAGAAGCACTGTGGTGGAGGTGGAAGTGTAGACAACCTGATTCTGTTAGTGAGGAGGCATTGCACTAACAAAACCACCAGATCTCTTCAACTGTTTTAATTTCATTTAAGTGATGAAAAACGATTGGGGTATGGCGTTTATAAATAAAGAAGTATATTAATTTCAGGGGAAAGTCCAGAAAACTATATCCCCTCTTAAAATTCTGCTGGTTTGTACTCAAAGATCACAAAAGAGTACTACTTTTACTTCAACTGTGCAGTTTCATACTTTTAAAAGGAAAAAACTGTGCTGGCTTTTTTTGGCTTTTTTTTTTTCGATCTGAGTATCTTTCATTGAATGTAAGTACCAAGTTTGATTTAGTCAGGATTCCTAAATAAAAATCTTTGTTAAACTGGGAAATCTGATCTCTGAGAGCTGTTTCTCCTGGTCTGTATAGATAATGGAAGTTAATCTGAGTAGATTTTTAATAAAGCAAAAAATAGTAATATAGCAGCATATTCACCATAATTATCTGAGATGCTGAGTTTCTAAATTAAAACTGTAATAGCTAGTGCAGTTTGGTGTTAGTCCATCATATAAAAATTTTCAACAACAGTCTTTTAGTGTAGTGTGGCATAGTGTGTGGAACTCCTTTGGTTGGATTGTTTGCAATAAATATTCTAAGAGCACTTTTTAAAAGCCAGATCTGGTGTGATTTTGCAATACATAGTATTACTGTTTTGTCGAAATGTAAGTCATGCCTATTTTCTTATTTATCTTTCTTTTTAATTTTAAAATTAAGGTTTCTCCTTTTGAATCCATACACTCTGTTCAACAGTATGGTGATTATTTTTGTTTAATAACTTCCACTTTTTTTTTCTGCTTTCAGAACATTGCTACACATAAACTTCTTGGCACCTTTATTTATGGTTCTTCTGTGGGTAAAACCAATCACTAAGGACTACATTATGAACCCACCTTTGGGCAAAGAGAACATTCCTTTGTAAGATTCCCTTTAAAAATTTTTTCTGGAGTATTGAGAACAAAATCATGTCTATGTTCTTTGAAAGTCATAGGAACATGAAAGACTCAAAATTTAATTGCACCTGCTATAAAAGGTATTGTGGAAGGTGCTACTGAGTTCTGAAGAGCTTCTGTTATTTCAGAAGAATGAGGATTAGTTGCAGAATGTTGAATGTTAAGGTGGTGGTTCCCAAAAAGCTGCTGTCTTCTGACATCTGCTTGGCAGTATTGGGATGATCTTTGTAGGGGTGGAATACCACCTCATTACTACCTTTGGGAACCTTGTATCTTATATATTGATGTAGGAGAGAGGAGTGATTCCACAGAAGACAGTCGAGAAATGTTGGCATGAGAACTGAGCTAGGCAGTTTGTTTTAAGATCTACATGTTGATGAAGTGCATATGGAATTGGTAGCTAAAATATTCAAAACATAAAAGGGGAAAGAATTTTCAAGAAGAGTGGTATCTGAAATTCAGATTGTATAATTAGCATAGGTGATTGTCATTGTCACAATTAGTCTAAATAGTTCAAAATTGTGGTATTCAAATAAACTTGAACAGATATGATTAGCTGACACATCTTGCTTTCTAGGGCTGAGATACACTTCTAAGGTGGTTCTGTGACCACTGATCTATTACAAAAAACACCACAAATGTACATATTTTGTGCATCTGTTTTGTTCCTTGGTTTATTTTAAAATGAGGCTATAACTGGCTATCTCAGGCAACTGAAGTACCCATTTACTATCTACTACTGTGTGTCTGAAAACCGGTATTATCTGAGTGAGCTTGGGTTTTAGCATCCTGCCTTCATTACTCAGAATTTAAGCACTTAAGAACTGTTCTTATTTACAGACAAATGCATACTAATTTGGATCTAATGCTATGATAGGGTTACTGAGAAGTAGCAGGAGGGAGAAGTAGAAGCCAAAAGTGAATATTACTTGCAAGTGAACTTCATAACTGTAGATTGTGTGTTAACTATTTTTTGACAATATACCTCAAGATTTCTTTACAGATGATACAAACAAAAAATTGTGGCCTTTAATAAGAGTAGGTGGCCCTTGGAAAACAGTAGGTGGCCTTTGGAAAACAACATCACCCTTTTTTTTTTTTATCTACAGAATGTCAGAAGATACGTTTGACACTGTCAGGTTGTGGATTATAATCCTGCTGTGTGCTTTACGGTTGGCTATGATGCGCCATCATTTGCAGGCCTATCTAAATTTAGCCCAGAAAAGTGTGGATCAGATGAAAAAGGAAGCTGGCAGAATAAGTATGGTTGATTTACAGAAAATGGTAAGTATGGTGGCACTGAAGTTATATATTTGGAGTACTCTGCTGTGCAAATGTTTTTTTTCCAGTTGGTTACATGTTCTGTGGCAGAAAAGCTGAAATCCAAATGAAGCTTCCTAGACTATATGTCCTATAAAAATAGCACCATTACAGAGAAATTCTGCAAACCAAAATATGGAGAGGTGTATCATCTGTATTATGCACATGGCTTCTCCCTGGTTATTTGGAAGTTGTTGTAAAAGATCCCTTCAGATATGTGATGATGTGTAACTAAAACATGGGAAAGAAAAGATTCAGTTTAGATAGAAGGGTAAAATACTGTTACGAACTATTATTTTTAAGTTGAGGGAAAATTTGTGATAAGGGGGTTATATTTTGGAATAAAATGAGAGATGTTTAATTCTGTCAAACCACTCTCAAGCGCACTAGCCTAGTTAAAAAATAGCCTATCTTATTGTGGACAAGGCAAGATTTCTTAGATTTTTTTTTTTATTTATTTAAAAAGAAGAGTTATAAAGTATATCATAAACAAATGAAGGAGTAGAATGGTGTTGCGTGTTGCCTGCAAAATAAACTTAAATTTCTAGCATTGCGTGATAGTGCTACCTGTTGATCCTGCTGAGTTGGGGTGTGTTGCAGGAGGAATATTAAAGTATGGGTAAGACTCTCTCCTAGGATTGTCATTGTTACTTTTGGTTATACTAAGTAACTGAAGGTCCTAAGTGGACTGTGCAGTAGTGACTTACAAATAAAATGGCTAGGAATTTGCTTCAGAAAAAAAATTAGGAAATACAAGTAACAGCAACGGATTAGGACAGAACTATGCCAATTGCTGTAAATTCACTATCTTATTTCTGGGAATTTTAATCCTATCCATAAAACAGTAATGTCTTCTCTATGTGGCATTTCCAAAATCCATTTATCCAGTATCTTCATATCTTCTCTTTGAGGAGGCCACAGTCGCTAGATCTAGTCTTGTTTAACTAATCATGTTTGCTTTACCTTTTTCTGGAATTTCTGCCAGTAAATTATTTTCTGTCATTCTACAGCGATCATTACTATTAATTTGCTATTTTTGTTGTCTTCCATCAATTTTCTGACAATAATTTTTGTCTCATGCTTTTTCTTCTGTCACTGTCATACTACTTTTTCTTCTCATGTTAGTGTTTTAATGCCTGCTCATTATGAAGCCTTTTGAGGTTTTAGAGGTGTTCCCAAAAATGTCATGTCTGCCTTCATCATTTTTGCCACCCTGCATTCTGTTCTTTTCTAAAACCCACTTAGGTTTATTTCATTGCTTGCTTGCTGTTATTTCAATACTTTTTTCATTCTTTATTTGGTCTAGGCTTTTAGGTCAATAGCGTATATAAAATATGCAATGTAACAATCTTGAAAAAAATGGAACAGATTGAGAGCAGAGGGAGGGATTTCTGTGAACCGTAGTGTATATCTAAAATAAAGACCATTTAAATGCTGTTGATCAACTGCTAATGAAAAATCATCTTGTCATTGTTTTTAACATAAAGGTATTTCACAGTTGAAAATTTAAAAAATATCTTGCTTTTGGAAAGAGGCTGCAACATTAATCAAACTTCCATTTACTTTTTGTGAGGCCTTGGGCTGTGACTACTACTTCATTTTTGAAATGGGATTTAGTTTGTAAATCATTGGAAACTTTAAAAATTAAACATTTAGTTTTGTTTCTGGTGTATTGAAATAGGAATCTTTGATGGCATGCAATTTCTCTTTGTTTTAACAGAACTGATACTTTTAATTATTTCCCTTCAGCTCTTCCTCTCAGATTTGTAAATGTCCTGAAACTAGAGTTCATTGTAGGGATTTCTTCTTGAGATCTTTTGAAGACGGTAGGTCACATGACAAGAGGTGTTAGAAAACTCTTAGAACAGCTTTAATGCAGAAGTACTGGGGTTTTTTAATAAATTCTTTTTAGTCAACATGTTCATAAGGATTTGCTTTGCTCAGCTAGGACTCATGAATTTTACTCTCTTCTGTTTTTTCCCAGGTGGCTCGGGTATTCTATTATCTTTGTGTAATTGCACTGCAGTATGTTGCACCATTGGTAATGCTCCTTCACACAACTCTGCTCTTGAAAACACTAGGTAGGCAAAACTCGATCAACAAAAATACATTCAGTTTTACACCAGGCTTTTATATTTTCACCTTACTAAAGAGAGTAAGAATGTATGGGTAGAATTTGCAATATAGAAACACATTGTAGTTTCCTGCTCTTTAAAACATTCATGTGTGGCTTTAAAGCAGTTTTCTTCATTGCTGCTTTTGATATCTTTCAATCATATACTAATTTGTTTAATTTGTTTCTGAGAAATTGTGTAACACAACCAACTAAGTTGTTTGCTTCTGTTGAAATATTTATCTTTCAAGAAGTATTCTATAAGTGAGCTGTATAAAACATTGTTGATTTACCTTCATGAACATACCTTAAAGGATTTTTTTCAGCTTTTTTATCTTTAGTAGGCTTTTTGAATGGGAATTATAAAATATGGTGTTCATGTAATTACTGGGAGATCTGAAGTCACTCCAGTTTGATATTTTTTTTCCTTTTTTCTTGTGAGAGATAACTTTCACAGCCTGCCATGCAGTCATGGCATTCTTTTTTGCAAAAAGGCAATGGAATGATATAGGCTTTATTAGGCTGTGATTCATTCTGTTCTGGAGTAGACATCTACATCTGGTGAGATGAATTGTACCCAGAACTGACAGGGGTCCCAAGGCAGCTATATTGCATGTAGAGGTCAGGATGCGAAAAGGAAAGGTGAATCCTACCCCAGTAGGATTCTGGTATGATCAGGAAACCATGCAGATGAATACAGTTAGTATTTACTAAGTTATAAAAAGTTAACATTTTTATGTGTGTGTTCAGAATATATCTGAAATGATCTGTGGAGTAGTAGATAGAAGTAGTAGAACTTAATTTTACAAAAATCTGTTACTTGTTTGTTTTTGACAGGTAATTATTCTTGGGGCATCTACTCAGAACTGAATTCTGACACTCCAGTAGAAAAGAGTCTGCTTCCCAGTTCTGTTTCTTCTGAGTTTCCACCTGCTGATGGAAAGATGAAAGTAACAGTAGTACAAATAACCACGGCTTTGGGAAGTCTAAAGAATATTTTCACTCCTCTCCTGTTCCGGGGACTCCTGTCTTTCCTCACCTGGTGGATTGCTGCTTGCCTTTTTTCTACAAGCCTTTTTGGGCTCTTCTATCACCAGTACCTGACTGTGGCATGAACGAGTCAACTGACAAAGCAAGTGTGAGGTCAATACAAACCCAGGTACCCAAGAGGAGATGAAGAGAAAACTATATATGAAGAGAAAACATATCATAATTATTTTTAAGCACTTCCTCTGTGTTCTCAGGGTGAATAATCTTAAAATGTTTAAAATCACAACTGGGTTTGTTATTTTTGTTACCCAAATGGTAGGTAACTAATTGAATTATAGTGTTGGGACTGACTGACATTATTGTGTGATAGATGGTGGTAAGCATGCTGAAAAAATGCGACCTCTGAGTATCTTGGTTTCCATAAACAGCAAACCAGCCTCAAAAATTTGTGTTTTACACATCAAAGTCAGTGACTGAACTGCGTTCAAAGGGTACTGGTTGTAGTGATGGTGGCTGCCTATCGTTTTAAGTCTTGAAACTGAGCCATACTATGAAAGGAGAAAGAGGGGATTTAAAAAAAATAATTCTGTTGGATAGCTATTGATCACTTTTCTCCATGGAAAATGAAATAATCCAACAGGACAGGAGAGTTACTGTATATTACAGTAAGGAAAGTTGTATAAAATTTAAATTTAACAGGAGTTATGTACGTACCTGACAGGTATTGCTGCCTACATATTTTGCAGGAGTGCTTGTGCAGTAAGAAGAGAGTTATAACAAATATATTATTTCAGTCCCTGCAGTCATTTTGGAGTAATGGCCATCTGTATTGGTGCTAATATTGATCCACAGATTCCATCTGGATCTTTTAAATTTCTTCTTTTGAGGTAGTAGATAAATTCTATTGAATGCACAAAATAATAGAAAATAATTAGTGACAACAATCAAACATTTCAAAACAAAACAGTTTAATCCTGCTGACTGAGAGTGTATGTATATGTGTTATGTGCATATAAATATATATTATATATTAAATATATAATATATATGAAGTTATAAAATATGGAATCTTATTTTAAATTACTGAATGTATCTTACAGGGCCGTGGGAGAGGGATGTATGTGTATCTAGTAATTTCAAGATCCCTTTTGAAATGAAAATTAAATTTTTTTTTGAAAGTTGAGTTGAAAGGGCTATTTGTTTTTGGTGCCTCTTCAGAGGTACTCAGCTATACTAAAGAACTTTTACACTGTCTTGGAAGAAAAGATTGCTTAAACTGTTAATCTTGAAGTTTCTGCTCTGTCAGATCATCATCTTTTGCCACTTTAATCTGTCTTAACTTGGCCATATAATAAGAGTTAATAGATCTTGGCTCCAGAAATAGATTTTCTGTGTAATAAAACAGCTATATAGTAAGGAGAAGAAAAGCATCAACTTTACAAGTTTTGCTTAAGTGGAGGGATAAATTCCAAGTATAAAACCATTGACAGTTTTTCAGATGTTTTGTGTAATTGCAAAACCGAATGGGGATTTATATGCAGTAGCTTTTTTAAACAGTTAATATTACACTTTGCAGAGGTCAGTGGGTTTTTTAACTAATACTAGCTGTTTTTATGTTACTGTTCTTTTTCTCTTGAATTTGTGTACAGCTTTTGCATATAATAATCATTTATAAATGGAAAAGCTTAACTAAATATTTAATATGTAGCAAACCTACCATATGGGAAAACAAACTCAATGAATGCAGAAAATCAAGAATTTAAGCTGGTGATAAACTATCTTACTGTGTTGAATGCCTTTTAAGTTATTTATTAGTTTATTAAATTGCATTTAGTGATACTGGGGGAAGATTTGTGTACACCAGCCAATACCTACCGCATGCGTTGGGGATGTCTGAGAACACCTTGCATGATGCTACTGGTTTTAGTTCAGTGTAGTATTTCAATGTGACTGGTGCTGCAAGCTTTGTTGTTTTCACACCAGCTTTTCGTAACTAACGAGGACAAAGGCTTAACTGTGAATTGGCCTAAAGAATAGTATTTGACTTTATAGATTCAGATCTTAAAACATTCTTAGGAAGTATCTTTCAGATGAACAATAGAATTACAAAATATGACAGGTCCAGCAATCCTGGACTTTCTTATTAGTTCAAGATATATCATTACTAATAGAATTAACAAGACCAGCTTTTAAGTTAGAGTTAGGTGTTCAATGCTAATCCTTTTTTCAGGAAGATAAAACAATATAGTGCAGTTTGGTTGGGATAGTAAACTTGGCTGAAGACTCTCACTATGTAGATGTAACCTGTTGTTGCAATCTGAAGGAGTAAATTCTGGATAATAGAGAATACTCTAAAATAATGTTAAACATCAGAATTTCTGTTGACATAGTTATTGTTCAAGCTTATAAGCACAAGTGAACTGTAGTTATATAGTATTGAATTCAGCAAAGGCAATGAGTGGATCACGTAGCTGAGCTTCACAGAGCTTTTGCTAAGAGCTCATGCTGTCTTGCTATTCAGACATCACACTGATCACAATGAAAAATAGGCACCTGGATGTTGCTAACATTAAGATCAATGCTTCTAGCCATTGCTGTTCCATTGTTCTGCAGAACTGAGTGGTTGACCTTCTGGTTAGCAGTCTGATCTGAGTGGGAGATAGTCTCTCATTGGATCCATTTAATCCTTAGATGAGTCCAGGAGGCTTATGAAAAACTAAAATATGGCAGTAAAATGTGAAGTGACAGTGAAACTAGAGGGCCTGTATTGCCAAGGTTTTGAGCAATTATGATATATACACTAAAATGTCTTTTGGGGTTGTTACTTTAATAGTCCTGACTTCCATGTATATTATGTAAGGTTCAAAGGAGTATCTGCCCACTTCTTTAGTAAGTTCTTTTAAAAGAGCAGCTAACAAATGCTTTCTTTTTTTTTTCATGGAGACCTTTACCAGCACCTGGGAGTGAAGGGAAAGCATCTTGCAAAAGTGGAAAAACAAGTAAAACAGTACTGAAAGCTTGGTAGTTTTTATTCAGATTTCTTACACATTTTATCTTGCTTTTTGGCCAATGCTTAATCATAGAATTCTAGAATGGTTTGGGTTGGAATGGACCTTAAGGGTCATCTCATTCCAAATCCCCTGCCATGAGCAATGGCACCAGACCAGGTTGCTCCAAGCCTCATCGAACTTGGTCTTGAACACTTCCAAGGATGGGGCATCCACAGCTTCTCTGGTGAACCTGTGCCAGTACCTCACCACCATCACAGGGAAGAGTTTCTACCTAATACCTAATCTAAATCTCCCATCTTTTAGTTTAAAACTATTCCCCCTTTTCCTGTCACACTCTGCCTGTGTAAAAAGTTGTTCTCCCTGTTTTTTTATAAGCCCTGTTTAGTACTGGAAGGTTGCAGCAAGGTCTCCCTTAATTTCTGAGAGATTTAAGGCTGAAATGTGCCTTTGGCAAATAATCCATATTTGTCTCTTTCTTCAGGTCACGCCTCCCTCTCTCAGTGATGTGACTTGTTAGCTTGACTTCTGTTTCTGATCTACAGTGCTTTCCCCATGTCCCTGCTCAGAACAAACTAGGCTAAATTTAGTTTGGTATTGTATTTTTACTTCTGTTGTTTTGGTTTAAATTAAGCTATTTTTGAAGGATTAGTTCCTTTAAATAGGTTATATAACTGAATTCCAGGTGAAATATGAACAAACTCGTTAGCGATTATTTAAACACTGCACTTTTTTAAAGTAGGTCCCTGTAGACAAAGTGTTAAGATAGTGATAAATCCAAGTCTTCCGGCAAGCTCAGGGAGGTCCAGATCTAACACTTGGGCAATTTCTGAGCTAAAAGAATTTGATTAGAAAAAGGAGAATAAATTATATCAAGTCTATTCTTCCACTTTGTAGGTGAGGTTTTTAGGCAGCACTTGTCCTCTTTTGATACCTTCTCAAGCTGTAGGATTTGCCACTTTTTGAGGTCTCTTTAGCTGCACAGTTTTTTCCTCTTCCAGAATTCTCTTGCATAAGAATCAGCAGATTAAGTAACAGGGAAAAACAGGTTATATCAGTACAAGAGAACATAGTTGTACAGAGCAATGTACTTAGAGAAAATTAATTTCTGTGGCAGTTGTTCTCCTCCTTTGAGTCACAAGTACTGCAAGATGGTGGATTCTTCCTTGGGTTGTGAAGTCAAATTTGCCTGTGGACAAAAATGCCACGAAGATACATCAGCACAACAATTACGTAGCATAACCACTCTGTGTAAAGGTTAGCGAGTACAGAAATTTCAACAACTTCAAAGGAACAATTAAAAGGGTTGTACTTGGTTACAGTAGCTACAGCTAAGTGGTAATAGGGGTCTTGGATGTATCACATAAAAAATTTAACATGTGATCTTAAAGCTGTCAGAAGACTCTACAAGGTAAAAGGCCTTATGCCTCTTTATTCTCAAAAGTCTGTGCATTCCACAGAGAAGATTTTGATCAGTTTTTAAATACTATGCTTCATACTTTATCACGTGACACAATGTGCATGATAGACACAACCCCTCCCCTCCCAGACTTAACCCAACAGTTAATTTTGTCAATATAAAGTTACTATATAGTTTTAGTTAAGGTTTAAGTGCACAGAGAAAACAGAAACCTTGAATGAGAATGAGGCCAAAGAAAATTATATGTTCTCTTGGGGATATCTTTCTATAATGGCTTAGCAAAATCTAATGGAGGAAGGCAACAGCAGGTTACTTGTATCCTAAATCAAATATTAAATGTGAATCTTTACCATTATGAGTAAGACTGTTATTTTTAGCATCTGCAGCCTAAGTCCCAAATGGCAAGCTAAGAACAATATTTTGACCTCACTGGTATTTACTCTAAAGAGCATCTAGGCAACAAGTTTCTGAGGTCAAATGTCTGATCTTGTTAAGCAGGCTGATGCAGCATGGCGAGTCTGTGCTTTGAAGTGATTTTTCTGCAAGTGCTTTCTTTGGAAAGTCTGCCATGCTTTGTGACTTGTGCAGCACATGCAATGAGGTGGATGGTATGTCTTTTCTCCACTCCTGAATATTAAACTGAGAGGTTTTTCTCCTCTGGGTGAGATCGTGAGGCCAAGATATTATTTCCAGGCTGCTTTTACTGACATCTGTATATGCTGCACTTAACTTTTTTCAGTCTCTCACTGTGGACTGCCAGGAGAATAATACTGCACTGGATGTTATTTTGCATGCCAGTGTGTAAGTATTTTTATAACTTTGATTTCAATGGCGTTTTTAATGAAAATTATTTTTAAT